GCTGGAGAAGACCAAGAACCGCCTGCAGCAGGAACTGGAGGACACATTGATGGACCTGGACAACCAGAGACAGATTGTGTCCAACCTGGAGAAGAAGCAGAAGAAGTTTGACCAGGTGAATATCACCAGAAAACAAAATCTTTTTTTTTTTTTTTTTAATTAGACAAAAATCAATTTAAATTTGAATGTTTAGGAAATGCATCTTATAAAAGTCCATACAGTTCTTGATTTCATCATCTCTGACCTTCAGATGCTGGCCGAGGAGAAGAGCATCTCCAGTAAATACGCAGATGAGAGGGATCGTGCAGAAGCCGAGGCCAGAGAAAAGGAAACCAAGGCTCTGTCGCTGGCGAGGGCCCTGGAGGAGGCCCAGGATACCAGAGAGGAGCTGGAGCGGGCCAACAAGGCTCTGAGGGTGGAGATGGAAGACCTGATCAGTTCCAAGGATGATGTGGGAAAAAATGTTAGTTCTTAAAACGTCTGCCAGCAGATTTTGGCCTTGAATTGAATTTCAGCCTCCCGGTTAATCTGAAAACGTGCCGACGGCAGGTTCACGAGCTGGAGAAGTCCAAACGAGGCCTGGAGGCCCAGGTGGACGAGATGAAGACCCAACTGGAGGAGCTGGAGGACGAGCTGCAGGCGGCCGAAGACGCCAAGCTGCGTCTCGAGGTCAACATGCAGGCGCTGAAGGCCCAGTTCGAACGAGACCTTCAGGGACGGGACGAGATGGGAGAGGAGAAGAAGAGGCAACTGGTCAAACAGGTCAGAACCGGGACGGATTCCATTTAGCCCGGCGCTGAAAGAAACTTCATTGCTTGATGGTAAACGGCGGTCCACACCGACTGCAGGTCCGCGAGCTGGAGACGGAGCTGGAAGATGAACGTAAGCAGAGGGCCCAGGCCGCAGCAGCCAAGAAGAAGCTGGAGACGGACATGAAGGATCTGGAGGGACAGATCGAGACGGCCAATAAGGGACGAGACGAGGCCATCAAGCAGCTCCGCAAGCTCCAGGTGAGAGTGAGGAGATGAAGGAGCATGGACGGATGCTCCTTCATCTTGTCTTGGTTGGTTTTGATACATTTGTGCACTTATAATGTCTATTTTTTTATTTTTTTTTCCACAAATTATCTCTACAAGGAAAGATTTTTCAAGTCGTTGACAGTATAAACTCTGAGAAGGAGCCCTGCAACTGATTGCTTGGTTACTCTGCTACAACCATCTGTAGTTACTACAACACTAGAAGTGCCTGGCTCCACGTAAACATCCCAAACGAACAAATCTTGTTGACGTATACCTCGTCACTCCCTGTTTTTATCTGCGTTTCTGGATCCAGGGTCAGATGAAGGACTACCAGAGGGAGCTGGACGATGCTCGTGCTGCGAGGGAGGAGGTTCTGTCCACAGCGAAGGAGAGTGAGAGGAAGGCCAAGAGTCTGGAGGCTGAACTCATGCAGTTGCAGGAGGTGATGAGATGGATTCCTAACAAAGTAAAAAATCTCTGTGCCATCAGAGGATGGTTAGTAACAGGTAGCCCCCTCTAATCCGTTTCCAGGAGCTGGCTGCAGCCGAAAGAGCCCGGAAGCAGGCAGAGGCCGAGAGAGACGAACTTTCTGACGAGCTGGCGAGCAACTCTTCTGGAAAGTGGGTGGACGATTTCTGCTTTTCTTTGTCCGTGGGGGTAAACGGAGCTCACGTTTGACATTTTCTCACTGTGATCCACGAGTTTAGATCCGCACTAGCGGATGAGAAACGTCGACTTGAAGCCAAGATAACCCAGTTGGAGGAGGAGCTGGAGGAGGAGCAGGGCAACATGGAGATCCTCAACGACAGGCTGAGGAAGAGCGCGCAGCAGGTGACCTGATCCCGTAGGAGCCGCTCGGATCGCGGCGAAGTGAAAACTGCCAGCCCCGAATCTTGACTCTGGATGCGTGTCTTTATCAGGTGGAGCAGCTGAACAATGAGCTGCAGACGGAGCGCAGCGCCTCCCAGAAGAACGAGAGCGCTCGGCAGCAGATGGAGCGCCAAAACAAGGAGCTGAAAGCCAAGCTGCAGGAGATGGAGAACCAGGTCAAGTCCAAGTTCAAGTCCTCCATCTCTGCCCTGGAGGCCAAGGTGGCACAGCTGGAGGAGCAGCTGGAGCAGGAGAACAGGTTGGGGAAAAATAAAATCCTTGTATAGCTTTCAAACATAACCTGTTTGACTGCTGGTCTTGCGTTTTGACTGATCAAACCTAAATGACTCTTAATTTACAGTAAGGGTTGAAATCACACAAAGTAGCAGTCTGATTGGTTTTAAAATATCACTGTCTAAATTTATATACACCATTTTATTTGTTTTATTTTTCACTTTTTTGGTATAAAACTCTTTTCTATCACTTTAGAGATAAGCAGGCATCTGCCAAGAGCATGCGCCAGAAGGACAAGAAGCTCAAAGACATGATGATGCAGCTTGAAGATGAAAGGAAACAATCAGAGCAATACAAGGATCAGGTAAAAACACCCAAACAATCTGTAGTAAATAAGGATTTCTTTGTTTTTTTGTTTTTTTTTTTGTTTGTATTTTTTTTATGCAAAAACAAAAAGAGGCCTGAAGTATCCATTGCAGACATGGTGAAAAGCACATTTTCATACATAAATATCAGTAGCTATCAGATGATCAAAAATGTACTCTTTGACTCACTAGCTTGCAGACAAGGTGAGATTTAACTGCATGAATAAAGTTTATTTTGAATGTGCCCAGCTGCCATGGTTGCAAAGCAAACCCAAATTATCACTCCCCAACACCGTGCTTAGCAGTTATTAGGTTTAGGGTGTTGGTGTTGGTACGTCGTTTTAGTTTTTGCCAGAAAACAATGCTTTGGCAGCGAGATTTATTCTCTGCTGCAATTGTCGAGGTGACTTTGTGCACACACACACACACACACACACATACTTGCTAGCAAAAACTTCAAAATAAAAAGCAACATGCTCTCAGTTAGGATATTACTTTTGCTAATCCACCAGGCGGAGAAGGCAAATACTCGCATGAAGCAGCTGAAGAGGCAGTTGGAGGAGTCTGAGGAAGAGTCTCAGCGCGCTACAGCGGCCCGCAGGAAGCTGCAGCGAGAGCTGGATGAAGCCACCGAGGCCAATGACACCATGAGCCGCGAGGTCAGCTCCCTCAAGAACAAACTCAGGTAGGACGGTTTTCTTTTGACCTCATTTATGGGTTTGTTTTATCCTCAACACTAATCAAAGGAGCTGGTCAACGTACTGCCATTGAAAATGTACTTGTAGTCCTCAAATTAGTTTTACAGTTTGTCATAGTACCAGCACTTCTGATATATACAGAAATTGGTGGTTTCAGAAAATACACAAACTTGAGCTTAACTGTGATGTGGACAGAAAAGGAAGCACAACTTTAAGAATTTCTACAAATAAAACCCTAAAAAAATTGTGGATGAATCATGTGTTTTTTTTGTTTTTTTTTTTGGAGACACACATTTTGCTACAACTATGGCCACATAGTTGTAGCAAAATATCTTCCCCCTACAGGTCTTCAGAGGCATGTCTCTAAAAATGGACCCTATTGACTGCAAACCAGATCAGGCAAAGTCAGATTGGTCCGAACAATCGAAGAGTATCGGACAATTGTCAGTTATTGCTAAAGATTCTCTGTTGGAGTCGCACATCATTTTCCTTTAACTTTACAGTTATGTGCTACTTTCTGACATACAATCTCCTAAAGACATTTAAATTTGTGGCAGCAAGAAGAAAAAAAAGTGAAAGTTCAAAGGGTCTGAAACTTTATGTACTTTCTTTTAGACATCCAGGTAGTGGCAACCTTCCTGAAAAGGATGAATCTACAAAACAACGGACATAAAAAAATAAAAAAATAAAAATTTGTGATTAAAAGTTTTGAAGAAGCTGTGCACTTTCTTGAACAATGCTTTCAACAGAGTCCCTGGATTTAATTGAGATTGAAAATTGTTCAGTTTGACTGAAGAGTGACTCTACACTACAAAACTATTCCTGGATATTTAAATCCATGAACGATGTTTCCATTTGCTGAGTCGAAGCAAAACGATCCTGTCCCTCTCTATTGCAGAGGCAACCCTGAGCCTAAGGAGTGACACCGCAGGTACCTCTGCATTAAAAGTTCCCCCATCACCATTACTCATTCATTTACAATCTTTTCATCCTCCGTGCTCACTCTAAATGCTCTTATTTCTTCCATTGAGCCTAACTGAGAGAAATATGGCTCATTATTCTTTTAATTAAAAGGGGGGGGGGGAATCCTCAAATTTGGAATTTCACCAGCGAGTTCTCCTTAATCCTGTTTTCTGGTGGCCATCTTTCTCTCGGTGCTTGGTTTAATTGTCATAAACCAAACTCATTTTCCTGAGCAAGGACTTAAATGAGTTACGATAACCAGCGTGCTTTAGCAGTAACCGAAGCACAAACCTGTACGTTCTGCGTTTCATTGGCCCTCCTCGCAGTGTGCGACACCTGCCTGGGTTTTTTTTTTTTACACAACGCCTAACCAGCTGATGGCATTGCTGCTCTCAATGTGACCGTGTGTTTGTGTGTCTTCTTCGTGCGTGCACGTCTCTGTGGCGTTTTTAGGCGCGGAAACGAGCCGTCCTTCAGCAGCGCGCCGCGGCGTATGGGCGGAGGCCGGAGGGTGATGGAGGACGCCTCGGAGGAGGACGGAGACTCCCAAAACGACTTCAACGGAACAAAGTCCTCAGAATAGGAGGGACTTTGGAAAAGCAGACATAAAAGTTCAGGGGCGATGGCTGTCACCTACAAGTTAATGTCAAAAGCCTGCTTCGCTATCCTTCGTGACACTTCTTAACATATATTTTCATTTATCTTGTCATTTCCAGTAGTTAACGGCGTATTCTTTTGAAGCGCACGCACACGTTCAGAAGGACTTGATATTCACAAAGAGGAGTTGTTCGGGTGGCTCCGTTGATGTGATTTGCTGTTTCCAACAAACACTGTGTTTTTTTTTTGTTTTGTTTTTTTTTTGTACTGCACTGAATGTCTGATTCCTCCTCGTGTAATGTTTTGTACACAGAAATGCCTTTTAATCGACACCCACTTAAAATCTAAAGCAGGCGTGTAACTCCTGTCGTCCTGTTGCCTGTGACTGCTGTTACTGTTCCAGCAGCACTGAAATGGGTTCAGATTGGATGTGCATGCAGAGTTTAGTCTTTCTGCGTCCAGTCAGTGCTGACTTTTATATCCCATCAAATATTTAACCCAGAGTTTTTAAAGCCACTTTTTTTTGACATTATTTGCACCTTTCTTTGTGCTCTGTTGTGCTCATGATTCTGCCCCCTAGAGGACAGACGAGGTTTATCTCCTATAAAATCAGTCATGAACCACATGTTTATATGGCACTGGGCACATTTTTTATTTTCCATTTGTTCAAATGTACATGTTCTACAATTCTCCTCCAGTCACATTTAAACTAATTCTCATTCGATATAATCAGCTACTGTTTACATGACACTTTGTTGTATTCTTTAATTGTTGAACCACTTGCACAAAAATAAAGAGCTAAAAAAATCGAGTTTTATTTATTTTATTTCAACTTAACATGCCAACTGTAAGCAGGCTTGAATGAAAGGTGAACGTGGGCAGGTCTAATACATCAGGACAGTTTGAGTCGTTTCCCTGATAATTTATTTCTTTAAATAATGGGTCGTTAAGCAAGTCTCTGGAGAACACATCGCTGCAAAAACACAAAATCTTATTTTGGTGTTTAAGGTTTTGCTTCAAGTGCAAATATCTTGGCACAAAATTAACTTGCAAGCAAATAGGAGCTTGTTTCAAGTATATTGATGAAAAAATACGTTGGTGAAATAATTCAGCAGTAGAATAGGACATCTTCCATAATATGTTGGTTCTTGCAATGATGTAATTTGCTTGTTGAGCTTATTGATCACAGTATTGACGGGGTATCTGCATGTTAAAGAGCTACATGAAATCTAAAATGACTAAAACTCAACTTAAGGAAACATAACCTGGCATTTGACTTGAGTGCTTCTGATTTATGCTCCCACTGTACAAACTAATATCCTAAAGTGTGAAATACTCACAAATTCCTGTTTTCCAGGTAATCCTTGTATGCACTTTTTCATAATGAAGAAGCTGACGGTGTATTTAAGAATCTTTATTTTGTTACTTAAACATATCAGAACTGTTAGACCGAAAACTAAATTTTTGAGAATTTCCTTTCAATTGCAGTAACTACATTCAGGCATCTGTAGTTTTGTCACAGCTTAAATCCCAATCAGATCTCTTTTATTTAAAAAGAAAAAAAACGCATTCAAAAAGCAATGTATGAACAAACATGAGATGAAATCGAAAACTAAGATTTTTCAGTTTACAGGCAAACATTTCCTTATACACTGTCCCGTTAAAAATACAATGTCAAATATTGGCTTTACGTAACACAACCTCATGAACTGTGCTCATTTTAAAACTTAAATATATTACCTGTACTTTTCTTTTCTCCCCCTAAACATAACCCTCGATGCTCAAAAGACCTGTACATTCAGAAATGCATGGGTGCCAAGTTAAACGCTATAATTGCCTGAAAATCTGTAACAGCATAGATTTTGCAGAAATGCGTAAATCTGCAAGATACTAAATTGCATCTGTCAAAAGCTCAATATTTTTTCTCACATTAGAAGACAAAGTAATGAAAGGAGTCGACATACTGACGGGAAGAAGTCAAATTAGTCTTTTCTGGAAATATGAGAAAAAACGCACTGGCCTTTCCTTTTTTTTTTCCAGCTTCCTGACCAGCAGTGTGCAGCAATAGTTGGAGGAGGGGGCATTGTTACAGATGGAAGGAAAAAAAAAAAAAAAACTCACTTTCTCATATGTGTGATTAAAGAGATTTTAAACCACAGGAACAATGAAAGATTTATGGGTTCTTATAAATCTTAAATCTTTTTAAAACCTCTGCAGACCTTAACAGAAGCTGATCCATACTAAGCGCCACCACCTTATAGACCATTGAAGCTGTTTCAAGCTACATCTAGCAATGTCGGAAATAATATTCCACTTCTGCCTTTGGATGCTCATTCAACACTCACTGAAGCCACTTTAACAAATTCTACCAAATTATGCTAATTAAGAAAAAAAAACAATTTGTGCCTTTATACATTTGCAAATAAATCTGGGCAATAAAAGGGTTAAAAGGTTGTTTTTTTTAAGTGTACGAAGTGCTGCTGCTGCACACTGCCAACCAGCTGTCTGAAAGGAGCCGCGTACCGCATCCCTAGTTTAAAAGAAAAAATAATTTCTCTTAGGAAAAATTTCCAGCCAAAAAATATACACAGCTGTAGGAAATATATATATTTATATTACACTATCAAGTCTTGTGTCAATATCATGAATCTGGTATTGTTGCCCGTGAGAACGACATACGTCCTCTCAATTATTGCCTTATGTTTTACTGAAAATGGTGACAGACAAAATTTAAAAGAAATGCATCAAAATAAAATTATTCTATCATAGTTCAAATGCTGCTACCCTTACCATTTCATATTTTTTGGTTATTCACAATAAATTACCGGTAATTAGCCGTCGTCTGCTGAAAGGAAATGTGGTTGTGTGAATAATAATTAATGTACTGGAAGGAGGTTACTCTGGGGCTTTTATTGATTCCACTGATTTATGATCACAAATCAATAGAAAGAGGGTGCAAATCTAAGGTCTTCAGAAAAAAAAGTGTCATTTGAGCATTTACTTATATTTAATTCAATAAAAAAAGGTACAGTAATGGTTTTATGGGTATGAAATGGAAGCAGGTTGGAATAAACCAGATTAAGTATTAAGGATAGATATTTTAACTTATTTTTTTTCAAAAAATAAAAACCCAACCCAATGGATTTATATCCATTTATGTTTAATCACAGCTTCAGTTTGGTCAGAAACACGTTAGCTAAAACCCAAGTTCAGGTTCTTGGTCCCTGTACCAGGCTCATCTCCCTGTAGTCGCGGTCGCTCTTCGCCCCCCTGCCCCCGTGTAGGTCGCGATCGATAGGCAGGCGCAGCGGCTTTACCAAGTCAGAGTCGGGTGTGCTTTGATCCGTCACAGAAAGTGTCGACACAGAAGGCAGCGTAGATAAGAGTGGAAGAGATGAGCGGTGGGCTCATTAAGAACATGGAGCAGCTTTCTGTGGTTATATGTTGAGCCTAAGGCAGCAGGAGTCCATGCGCTGATGGGCGGAGTCACTCTGCTTTCTCCTGATCCAAGAACGGCGCTCTCTCTGTTCAACTAGGGCAGACAAGCTGAGCTCAGAGTACCGGCTTCTGTAGGACCATCTTACAGCAGAATCTTCACCCCTCCCTGCGGAGACTGGGGACTGTGGGATACCACTCTGGGAGGAGCCGGTCCGAACTCTAACCGCTTCACCAGACTGAAAGACAAGCCAAAACTGGATCATGAGAACTCGTCACACGGCTTGGTTCACATAGAGCTCCTCCCGTCCAGCATCTTTCTAACCTGTCGTACTGAGGAGGAGGGCTGAAGCTGCTGGCCTGGACCTCAGGACCTGCGTCTAAACCTGAAGGGCTGCAGGGCCCGGCGGGGAGCGCCGGTCTGTTGGAGGACGTCTCGTAGACAAAGTCTCGACACGACGCAAGCTTCGACTCCAAATTCTGACGATTATACAAAGTCGAGTCAAAGATGCAAACCCAGAAACAAGAAGAATTTATTTATTTACATATATATATATATATATATATATATAAAAAACAGTCCAATCTTACCCCAACTTTTCTCAGCAGCTCTCCGACAATGTTCAGTGCAGATATTCTAGCAGATGTAGTCAGAGGGGTTCCCGTTAGACCGTCTCCTGGAAAATAAAGGCAGCTGTTGAGTTTAGAGTAAGAACCTGAATCATTTGGTCCTAGCTCATAGTTGTGAATGTCTTGTTATTTACCCCTGCGGATGCTGGAGGCAGGAGGCGTCATGTACGAGCCCACGGGTTTGGAGGGCGTGATGGGGATGGACGGATTGGGCGGAGAGGAGCACAGCATCTCCGAACGGTCTGAGTCTTTGCCCAGGCTGCTGGACGGCCGTCTCTCCTTCTGACGGACGGCCAGCTCCTGGCGGAGGTCTGACACAAACAAAGCCAGTCGGTGTGTATGCACGTGTAAATCTGTACGTCAATAATTTTTGAATATTTCAGATGCTCAACCATCTTAACCTAGAAAACAACAATCCCTTTAAAAAATATATGTGGTACAAACAGAGCTTCCCGTCTATAAACGAAGTAGCAGAGAATAAACAGAGTAGTCTGACAACATATTTCTTTAAAAGAAAATCTTGAGCATGGCTAAATCAGTGCTGGGTCTGCATTTGGCTCCTAATTTCCTGGTGCATGAATAGATCCTTGTTTGGTGCCAGTTGTCAAATCATGTAGAACATAAGAGGTTAAAACCAACTTCAGCGCAGTCTGGGCTTTCTCCCCCTGACTTGGGTCGTCTCCAGTAGAATTTCTACCAATTGTGAACGATGACGTCGATTTTCAGTAGTGTTTTAGAACTGCAGTCCGACGGTGGTTTTAGCAACGGCAGCGGAGAAAGTCAACGAAGCCGTTCGGTCTGCGTCGGCCAGGCTTTCAACTATTGAACTGACATCAACGGCCGCCTTGTTCAGCTCGGCACTTCGCTCTTTGCAGTGAAGGGCGGTTGTTTACAAGGCAGGAAATTCCCATTACGCTTGTTCATGTCGAATCGTCACATTACATACGTCACGGGCAAACGTTAGCAACTGGGTGAAATTTAAAACTTCAAGAGAGTCCACGCAATCATTTCTCAACAGAGCCCAGACCCTCTATAGCAGGGGTGTCAAACTCCAGTCCTCAAGGGCCTCTGTCCTGCAACTTTTAGATGTGCCTCTGCTGCACCACACCTGAAAAGAATAATTAGGTCATTAGCAAGGCTCAGGAGAACCGATCTACACAGGGAGGAGGTAATTAAGCCATTTCATTCCACTGTTTTTTACCTGTGGCACATCTAAACACTGCAGGACAGCGGCCCTTGAGGACTGGAGTTTGACACCCCTGCTCTATAGGGAGCAAACAGCGAAGGACAAGGGGACGGCTTTTACCAGTCTGGGAGAGTGCATACCTCTGGCTTCATCCTTAAGTCTCTGAACGGACTCCAGCAGGTTCTCCTTCTCGTCCAGCTCGCTTTCCAGAAAAGCGTTCCTCTCGATGACCTGGTTCATCCGCTGCTCGAAGTCCTCCAGAGACATGATGGTAGCCCTGTGACAGAGTTCGCAATTAAAAAAAAAAAAAAAAAAGTCAGCTTCACCGCTTATGATTAGCACATTTTGTACAATGCTGTACTTGCTTTAAATGGTAGAAAGCAAGAAAATGTTTCTCTGCAGTAGCTATTTTAAGCAAACCTCCTGACTTGTGCTACCAATTCATCATGAGCCCAAATTCTGCTCCTTTTCCTCTCTATATATACCAGAAAACTGACATTTTATCTTTAAACAAGCGATCAATCTAGAATAAAGCATTAAAAAACAAAAAGAGAGAGCAAGAAGAATCTTCTTAAGATGTTTGAATTGAAGGTGCAACTAAATTAGTATAGTAATTACAAAAACACTGACCTTTTAGTCCTCTCTAGGTCATCATTGGACTGTTCTAGCTCCCTGATGTACTTCTGCAGATGATCTCTGACCGCCTTGGTCTCGGCCAGATCGTCCTCCAGTGTTGAGATGTGCCTGAAGGCCTCTGAATGCTGCGCCTCGAATTTCTCCTGCAGACGACACACCGAAAAATCAGCTGACATGTCCAGCTTCACAAGGTCATAGGTCAATCAATATGGGGCAGCATCGTGTATTAATGAAGAGTGTTGTCCAGGCATAACCTAAAAATTAACTTTAAAACTTTCTCCTTCAGTTCCTGTTAAAATTAATTCATAACCTTGAGCTTTTCCACATTTTTTGGCGTTACATTCATTAATTAGCATATTTTATTTGGCTTTCAAGTTATTATTTTACAGTTAAAGTCTAAAATATGTATTTAGTCCACCTGACTAATCATTTTCTTCCACTTTGCATTTTTGCACTACTTTGTGGCGTGAAAACTCAGTAAATACACTAAAGACTGGTGTAATGGAGACTCACAAGGCGCTGTATGAAAAGCAAAAAGTAGCTACTTCATGTCTGTGTTCTGAATAAAAGTTGTGAGGACAAATTCTCTGTCATTTCTTTTGTGGTGTAGTCATTTACAACAGTCTGGTCTGTTTATGTACCTTTATGCTTTCTAGTTCCATACGGAGTCTGTTGTTATCCAGCAGCAGTTCTTTGTTCCGACCTTCACACTGCTTTAACTCCGTTTCCAGCTCTGCCTCATAGTCTCGACTCATCTGCTGGAATTCCTGCAGCTCTTCCTGAGCCTCGTCCGCCCTGGTGACGAAAATGTGTTCAACTTCACCCAAAACACCCGGAGACACCGTACACTGCTGGGTGGTTACCTTTGCTGGTGTTTTTGTGCTTGTTCTTTCCAGTATTCCAGCTCCTCTTTCAGGGATGGAAATGAGTGTGCTGTTGGCTCTACCATGACTGCTGGATTAATAATGAAATGCAGGGAAATTTCAGCCTTTAAGGTCGCCCGTTAGCACAGGCTAACATAGCTAGATATCGGATGCAATGTGAACGTTGTCACAGTAGTCAAAGAGTAACATAAGAGTTGTATCTTCTGTGCTTATTTATGACTTTATAAAGGAATAATTACAAGTGGAGTTCAAGAATGCACAGTATTAGCGCTTAGCTATCTGGAGCTAATCGTGATAGCTAAATGAACAGAACGTATTATGCGATCACATCGCTATGCTAACCCCAAACAGTCCAGACTCACCTGTTTACGACTGGAAAATCAACACATACTACAGATAAGAGACTATTTATCGATGTGAGAATCAGACTGTAAAGGATTCAAGACTTGCATTAACTAATCTCCGTTTACGTTAACGCAGCACCGAGCTCTCCAATCAAATACAAACGAACGTTTAACATTTAGATGCTATTGGACGCCGCAAATGACGTAAAGTTGACATTAACCAATCATATTAGCTTACGACAACGTCTCCTATAATCGTCATGAGCGATTCTTGCTATCAGACTGGTTGTTGAATTCAAACAAGTGCTGCGAGATTATCGTATTTTTTTTCTTAATTTCTTCACCTTTGGGACAGAAAATACATTTCTGTCAATCTTAAAACTTCAGGCCTTCATTATAAATAATACGACTTTATTAAAAAAAAAAATCTGTTCATTTGTTTTTTCACATACTAAATGTTTGTTTTATTACAATCAGTGCAAACAACTTCTGACACATTAAATGCTGTTAGTTCTTGTAATGATAAGTATTTTAATTTTACCCAGTATGTTAGTAAAATGTTGAATAGGATCTAATTTACAACAGCATTCTCACATAAGAGCTGCTCAAGTCCAAGAAGGTTCTAATCTGTCCTTTTATCATCTTGAAGAAAATTCAGTCATCTTGACCGTAGCCTTGAGTTATAGATCTTACTTTACTGTTGTTTCCCTTTTCTTACACGATCAACACTTCTCCAAATACAGTAATTGCTCTTCCTAAACCACGTTTAAGTCGAGCCATCCATGCAGGTCTTGCACACTTTATAGGATAGCTTGAGTACAAGGGTTTTAAAAGCCATTCAGACATAAATAAAACATGCAAAAAGTGCAGCTAAATTCCTCTAAAATTAACAGTTGTTCCTGTCAAGCGTGCATGTTGGTCCTTGCACTGACATTGTGTCTTTGTGTAAGGCTTTCTCCATCGAAAGCAATCTTGGATTAAAGACGACACTTTTGTATTCTAGTCAAAGTATCGACGGGACATTGACTGGCAAACCACAGGCCCTGAACCAAACCCAACTTAGCTTTCCTTGGTACAACTAAACCTTATTTAGGTCAAACTGTCCAGGAAGTCATTACTGTCCTTGTTGTGTGGATCTAAATCTACACATCCAGCATTTTAGGTGAAAATAAGTGCACAGATTCTCCTCTCAGATTTCCTCTTCTTCACCTCTTCTTCTTCAGAAACTGTATGCACTGAGAAGTTCGGGGGCAAAAAAAATCACAAAAGTTAATCCAAACCTGTACCCACCATTCCAAATGAAATCTCGAAGCATTTAAAGTAGGAACAATATTCCACCTTAACCAGTCTAATTAATTTTTAGGCTTATCCATCTCACAGATGTTCTTAATGGAGCCCATCTTCTGACTGTCAAACACGTCAGTTTTCACCTGACTCAGAGTTTGCAGCAGGCACATTGTGTCGAACCCCTCCTCAGCAGACTGCTGCAACAACTCCAGCACCTGTTTACGGGAAACATAAATGACTTGTGGAAGAGAAACAAATCCACGGCAACTACTAATCCAATCATCATGTGACATGGACTCACTTGTAAGCACTTAAAGGACTTGAGCTCACTCAGGTTCTCCTTCAGGAAGAGCAGGTAGATGCTCAGGTCGTTATAGATGGGTTTAACTTTGCCCAGATCACCGAACCCAGGCAGCATCTCATAGGCCTGCAGGAAGCCGGAGCTCTGTCGCGCCGGCCCCAGAGCCGCCAGCACCACCAGAGGAGCGAGGAGCAAGTACACGCCCAGGTTGATGTAGCTGAGCAGCCTGAAGACGCCCACCGCCACCATCTTGCACTGAACGGCAGCCGGCATCGCGCTGTCGTTCTTTAGCATTCCCGTGCGCACGTCGCAGGGGAACTCGTCGACGAGCGAAGCCAGAAAGATGTAGTAGCAGAGGTACGCGCAGGAAAGCAAGAGGACGAGCAGAGTCAGGCATCGACAGACCATGTACTTGACCACGAGGCTGCAGGAGAACCGCTTGGTCTTTAGATACTGCTCCACTAGAGGGTATTTGAAGCAGCCCTCAGCCAGATCCAAGACACTGCAGCAGGACAAAGGTACATCTACATGAAGTACACAACTTTATATTAAATATAATGCACAAACAAAGCAAAACAAAAAAAACTGTAACACTGACAACTGTTATTTATATACAGAGCCACGCAACATATTCTTTGGATTTTTAAAAAAATATTTTCTCCTGTTAAAAAACCACAAGCTGTATTGTTTTTATTTGACAGAGAAAAAAAAAACAACACTAGAGCACCTGTGTCAAACTCATGGCCCCGGGGGGCCAAATTTGGTGCATCATAGCTTCTTATGAGGGTCTCTAGGAATAGAGAGTCACATAAATAGAACCTTGAAAATACCACTTCTGTGCTGGGTGCTTAAATATTACTTTATAAATCAAAGCAGTTTCTATCTGTATAATTCAAAATTCTCACAAAGATTTGAGAACCTGTGACAAGACTTAAAGATTGATTCTCACAGTCGCTTTCCATCCCAGCTGACTGAACTCGAGATACTTTGACAAGAAGATTGGAGAAAGGTTTTCGGTCTGTAAATGTGCAAGTACCCCCAAAAGACTCCCAGCTGTAAGTGCAGTGAAAAACGGTTGTACAAAAATATTGATTCAGAGGAGCTGAAAAGCCGAAAAACAACAACGTATCATTTTTTTCTTTCTCTTCACAATCTTGTTCCTGTGTCACATAAAATCTCTTTATAACACAATGAAGTTAGTGTTTATCAAGAGGCATGAACACTTTCCCCTCCCCCCCGTCTACCTCTGGCTGTCCTGCGCTGCGTCCCTGTCGTCTAAAGATGCCAGATTTTTGGCTAGTTTAATGGCGCGGTTATAAAATCGATCCAGCTCCTCCATGATGAAGTTGAGGTCAGACGAGAGGTACGGCGCTGCGGTGAAACGCCAGAGCACGGCGGGGACCGACATGAGGATGGCGATGAGCAGAAGGATGTAGGGAAAGAACTGAGGGTGTCGGAGAAAAGAGAGCAGGAGAACAAGTTTGAATAAAACGGCAAGGAATGCAATTTTGATTTGATTTCTGTAAATTTGACCTTTACTGCTCTCATAAAATGAAGGACATCTAAACACCTCATTAGTTTTCTAGGTCTTCGGAGGTGTTTCGAGGACGTAAACAGCTCAGAATACATTTTGCAATCACTATGTCCCATATACACAATTTTCTGCTTAGCGTTTGTGTCGGTTTATTGGGCCAGAGCTCACATCAGCACTGTACCTTGTGGAGCCAAAGTGTGGAATTGTCGACCTGGTTCTGAACTGCAGCCCAACAAAAAGAGTCCACATATACAGCTTGTCTCAAGGAGAAGTTGAAGGGAGCAAAACAGGTGATCTGAGTCCCTGAGAGAGAAAGAGAGAGAAAAACAGTGAATTGAAGCAGGCTGCCATTCAAAAAGATCAGAATAATGATAATAATAAAACCTTACTAATGATCATCAGCCTCCCCTCTTTTGCACTCCTGGCCCAATTTTTTTTTTGTGAGCTGTTTGCTGCATTATTATTCCTTATAATTAGGACTGGGCCCTTTCAACAAAGCATGACCCAGATATTCACTCATTTGGACTTAGACTTTGGAACTAAAATATTTGAAGGAACCCTCTGCATGTTCATGATGCCAGTGGCATAAAATTGTTGAATAAACAAACAAAATAATTCATTTTCACTTTGTTTCCAAGGCAGTACCTCTCCCTGCATGTAATGAGCCAGCATCAATAGTACTGTAGTGAAAGTGGCGAATAGAGCAGGTACAGCCTTATGAGCGTGTCATTATCCTATGTTTTCCATAAAATGATAACATATTTCTTTTCTTTCAGCAGGAGTAAGATCAGTGAAATTCACTGGCACTCTGTCCTCTCAGATTTCTCTGGCTTTAAGGAAAAATGCACTCATCTCTGAACAACATCGTTTGTGGGCAATCTTCTGATTCCTGATTTGCTGGCCGCATCGCATTTCAGCCCTTAATGGACATGTTCAAGATCCGGTAATCGATAAATCCTGATTGATCTATCTCGTTTGTACTCCATCAGAACAGCAGAGGAAATGTGAACTTACACTTGGAGAGTATTTAAGTATTATTCCCATGTTTATTTCATGCATTATCCAAGTTTTTTTTTTTTTTTTTTAATCTGAAACAAGTTGATTTGGCATTAGATCTTCTGTCGGTAGAAGAATGTAAATATTTCCTGTCATTGCTTTTCTGAACGACTGTGAAATAAGGGTGGAGACCTAAAACCACACCTTCTCACACTTCTGTTCCAGCTGATGACACAAGCACGTTATGCTTCTTGTCTCCAATTCATGGACCCCTGGATTTATATTAATGTTATCTCTGTCTGGAGGAAATGCATTATCTCACACAGTGAAATGTTGAAAAATGTACCATCTCACCTACAGAGACCTCCTGCGCAAAGGCGAGCGAGATGAGAAACAAAGGCAGCCCCACCGCCAGAATCGTCACTATTTTATCCACGGCCAGCTCCAGACGGACCCCTTTGTACTTCGTCTCCTTGGCATCCTTTAACAAAAAGTCCGAAAACACGTACTCTGTGGCCACGGAGGCAATCGCCATGAGGGCGGCACACACAAAAAAAACCTGAGTATGAGACTGATGGAAAAGCCGCTTTTTGTATTACTTAAAATGACAAAACCTCGCAGCTTTTTGTCTGTCTGATGAAGAAAAAGCGTCCAGGAAAGAGAAACTGAATTAATATTTAAAGCACAAATTAACTCTATTGTTCACCAAGCTCCTTGTACGCTGAGTGATGGATTAACCTGCCGCTATGCTGTCCAGTTAGTGAACCCAGACGCCAGGAGTTGATAGTGGCGCAAGGTGGCCTGCTAGAGGGCGCCATCGATCAGTTAGATGAATCTGTTACCATTGAAGATGGGAGAGAGCGTCGAGGCCCCGCCCACATTCCAACTGCGTTAAATAAACAGTACTTTATACATAAAAATGTAAAAGTTATTTAATAAATGTAAGAATAAAGAACTATATTTATTTATTCATGATATACTTAGTTATTTTTGTGTTAATTAAATTATTTCATATTTAAATCTAACAAGAAATAATTTAAGCTGTGTCTGTGACTCATTAAAAGGATATTGCACAACTGATTATACTGAGCACAGAATTTA